ACTGGTATAATTCCCCAAGTCAAAATACCTTTTAATTTAAAAAATAAATTTTATTTATTTATTTATTTGTTTGTTTGTTTATGGCTCCATTGGGTCTTCATTGCTGCACGTGGGCTTTCTCTAGTTGTGGCGAGTGGGGGCTACTCTTCATTGCGGTGCGTGGGCTTCTCATTGCGGTGGCTTCTCTCCTTGCAGAGCACGGATTCTAGGCATGCAGGCTTCAGTAGTTGTGGCAGGAGGGCTCAGTAGTTGTGGCTCGTGGCTCTAGAGCGCAGGCTCAGTAGTTGTGGCACACAGGCTTAGTTGCTCCACTGCATGTGGGATCTTCCCAGACCAGGGATCCAACCCGTGTCCCACCTTCATTAGCAGGCGGATTCTTAACCACTGCACCACCAAGGAAATCCCCAAAATACCTTTTTATATCATTGTTTTTAATCGATGGGTGTGTGCATGTGTGTGTGAATGTATTTGTGTATGTGTGTGTGTGTACATATAGATAATTAAATCCAACACCAATCATTGGTAGGAAGCATAATGCCTTTAGAGAAAGATTATAGATAGCATTAATTATAGATACATATAAACCTCATGAAAGACATTCACCAGAAAATATTTCCTGGATACTTTTGTATATATTTTTAAAGACTCATTTGCTTATGGACACAAAGTACTTGTAATAATTCTTGGAACAATAGCTGTGACTTTGCTCTGCTGGAATTGCCTCTTGCATAAACAGAAGAAAGGTGCTAATCCGTGCGCCAGTGGATTCGTTGGCAAGCGTCCATCAAGGCTACTTGTCACAAGCATTTCGGTGTATGTTGAGACATGTACTTATTTTAATTGCTGCCTTTTTATATGTGTCAATCTAATTTTTTTTTCTTTACAGATAGAAAAAAAAGGTGAAAGGCAGGAGGTATGCACCTTCCCACTGAACAAAAGGAAAGGTAATTCCCTCAGTTCTTAAGGAAGAGAAAATGCAGACTTCTCAAGGGTTGCCTTCAACCCAGAGCAAGTGCAATCACTTTCCTGAGTGCTTTTTTGTGTGGCCACAATCTACTATCTCCTTACTCCCCTCTGGGATTGGGCTTGATCTTTTCAACACATCTTTGTAACCAGGAGCTAGAAAACACAGGATTTAAACATGGTGGGAAAGGAAGGATACTGAGGTCATGTGAACAGCAGGGCAATCAAGCAGCTGTTGAGTTGGAGAGAAAAAGCTGGATCTTATCAGAGTAGATGCTGTCAAGAGTCACAAGCTTACATGACATAAAATTACACTTGTTTGAAGTATGCCATCACAAAATGCCAGCCTGACATTAAGCTGCTTTACAGAGGTATCACGTCCTTAAACAGCCTGCTGAATATCTGTCACTGGCGTGCCACTTTCCTCCCTGATTTTGTGATACCCTGGCTTGCCTCCAGGCGCTGTGAAGAGTGTCACCAACTTAGAAAAATTCTTAAAAGGAAATTAATTTTGATTTCCTTTGACATCCTAGAGAGTGTCCTTTTTAGCTGGGATGGAGATCCAGCCTCCTCTCCCACATTAAGACGTGGCAGTTTACTGCACATGTGAGAATCTTGGCTTGACACCCTTAAAAAACAAAAGCATTTTTAAAATTGAAGTATAGCTGATTTACAATGTTGTGTTCATTTCTGCTGTACAGCAAAGTGATTCATATATATATATATATATTATATATATATATATTATACATTCTTTTCCATTATGGTTTATCATAGGGTATTGGATATAGTGCCCTGTGCTCTACAGTAGGACTCTGTTGTCTATCCATCCTCTATATAATAGTTTGCATCTGTCAACCCTAAACACCCAGTCCTTCCCTCCCACCCCACCCACAGGCAACCACAAGTCTGTTCTCTATGTCTGTGAGTCTGTTTTGTAGATAAGTTTGTTTGTGTCATATTTTAGATTTCACATATAAGTAGTATTTGTCTTTCTCTGACTTACTTCACTTAGTGTGATAATCTCTAGGTCCATCCATGTTGCTGCAAATGGCATTATTTTATTCCAAAAGCATTTTCTATATGATCAGTAACATGTTGGGTACTCTACATGAATGATCTCACTTAATTCTCACTGAATCTCTAAGGTAGGTTCTATTATTATATTAACTGAAGTGGAAGTTCTGAGAGATCCAGGGACTTGCCTGAGATCACTCTGCTGACTAGTCAGCAGAGAATGGGGACTTGAACCCAGCACACCGATTGCAGGGCCTGGGCTTGCAATCAGGATGGTGCTGCTTTCTTCAAAACCTGTGTCCAATGAGTGACCTAGGTTGGGAGGAGAAGGTAAATTAAGAAATATTTATAGAGGGGACACAAGAGGGCAAGAGACAAGAGAAAGCATCTCCCCTTTGTCTTTAGAAAGACATGTGGCTAAGAAAACAAGAAGAGGTTTTTCCTGGTAGGAACAGGCCACAGGAAGTGTGACTGAGGAGAGCCAAGAACTTTATGAATAAGGCAGCTGGAGCTTTCCATTTCCAGTGTTCATCTCCAACAGCACTGCTGTGATCGACCAGGAACGAATTCCCCAGTGAAACATCAACAAGGTAGGAAATGTCATAATTATATTTTCTATTATCCCCCAAAGAATACATTAGCATGGCAGACATGGCTATAATTTGAAAGAAAAGTGATATGTAGCAAACACAATTGCTGATAAAACAAGCTGAGTTTTTAATCCTCTGGTATTAACAAAAAGGCCAAGATAAGAAAGGGAGTCTCAGTTTTTTCTGTGCCTATTCTCATGTGTAGTTGTAACTGGGCAAGAACCATGCTCAATTGGTTTGCTCTATGCTTTTCTCTAATGAGTAAACGTATATTCAGCATGTTCTGGACAACTCCCTGGAGGTCAGGTTGGTACCTGAATGGTCCAAGCAATGATTTGGGTGCCACCATCTACCTGCAGTTCAAACGAACCAACAAACAGAAATCCAGCCATTGTTCTTGACTCAGCCCTTCTTACACTTACCTTTCCATTAAGTTTCCAGTTCTGTCCCCAGAACCGATCTCAAGTTCACTTATTTCATTCTCTACTGCCATCACCCTTGTCTTAGACAAAATTATCTTTTGTCAGGATCAGAAACAGAAGCCTTCTAAAATCAATCTCTAAAATCAAAATGGTTTAAGCAAATACATATAAACCATGTGCCTGTTTGAAACCCTCCAGCCATGGCTTCCTAAGTACTCCAGAAACAGAGTCTAAGCCTTGCTTCTTGTGCCTCAGCCGTGGAAGCGCCTCTCATTCTTCAAAAGGCTCATGCTCTCTCTTTAGGCTTTTCCATTTTCTGAACCTTCTGCCTGGAGACTTGTTTTTCCTCCTTATTCTTTAGGCCTCAGCACTGACCTCCCCTCTCCTGGAGTCATTCTTGTGGTGAGATTGGCAACCCTTCCCAGCCACTCTCTTCATCCTCGTTTCCCTCATAATTCTCTTCATAGCATTTATATTGTGTCTCGAGCCATTTCTATTTTCTTTTTGTCTTCTCAGTCAGAAGGTAAGCTCTATAAGGGCAGAATTCTCAAATGGATCTGGCACATTTGTAGAAACATTAATGGATAGGCTAATTATTTTGAGACATTCCTCTGGATGGGAGCATGCAGAAATTTCTTCTTGCTGACACTGAGGCAAAGAGCCTAATAAACTTGGTGTGATCTTTTCTGTCTCAGTCATTCATAAATCTTTGCATCTTTGGAACTCTAATGAGACTAAGAGAGGGGAATAAATAAGAATTTTTTTGTAAATACATGAAGATATTCTTGTAAATCTTCATTTCTTATTTCATATGGTCAGTCATTTTTAAGCAGGAAGCGAAATTGATGATCTATCCTTTAGTAATCAAATTTATTGCCATCAATTATATTTTCCAATAGCTTTTAACTAAATGGAATGATTATGTCTAAGAAGCATGAGGTTTTTATAGGGAAGGGCAAGACTTCTGTTTCGTCTGTCTATGATGCTCATTGCAAAGATAAAGCTCGCGTCTAACGTGGTCCTGCCATGCGCACAGCGGGGCCCCTCTCTCAGCTATGCATCAGGTCTGTTTCCTTTAAAGACGTACGTATCAAAACCGTCAATACTTTTTGGTCACGGGTTCTTCTTTATTCTAGTTTCAATTTTCACGCCTGTACCAACAGGTGTGCGGCCCCAGCTTTTTGATGAGTCAGCACAGTCTGGATGTGTTAGTGTCATTGTGTGTGTTTCCCAGGATGTAGGGTCTGTGCTCACTTTGGGAGCCTTAGTCTAAAATTTGGCAACGAATATCACTAGTGTCAAAGGGGTAAACATTTTTTTTATCTTTATGGTGAAAATGAAGATGAAATAAGTCATCCTGAGTTGATTCAACATTAATACCAAATACTTTTAATTCTTTCTGAAAATATTTACAGAATTTATTTCTGTATATCAAAGCAAATGTTATATTCTTAGGCAATTTGCTTCTTATCTTATATTGTAGCTTCTTGTACATTTTTGTAATAAAGGGTTTCTACATACTGGATTTTCCTAAAGAGAGGAACATGGCTTGTATTTCTGATTTAGTTTCTTGGGATATAATAACCGTGTCATGGGTTTTGTTATCTTTAATTAAAAACAACTTGTCTACAATACATAGATTTGTTAATATTATATCCTCAGTTTGCCAAAATGATGTAAAATAATTTGATTTTATGTATTTTTCTGATTTTCCTTGCTACTCTTTAAGTATTAGAATCCTGTGGAGATTTTATAATACAGAGATTTTCCGTAGTCTAACCTCAGGGAAAACTTATTACCTCCTTTATAATTACTCAGTGGGTATGAGAAATACGTGCTCAGTGATCCATCTCATTAATGGGTCTTGTCTTGACTGACTTGAAAAGAACCAAGGAAAGAATTTGACAGATTTGTTCAGTCAGGTACTGTCCTTGATTTCTCTGACTGACTTTCTCTCCTCTTCACCCGCTTCTACCTGTGCTCATGCCCAATAATGAAAAGCTCTTACCTTCAATGCACAGGAGACCAGACCTTCCATACGGACAGAGGCAGACAATGTCTGTCCCGGATTTAGGAACACAGGTGGCACCATTTCTACATGGGTTGCTTTCACAAGTTGCAAACTGGCACTGCTTGCCCGAGTACAGCCTTGGACAGTCACAAAACCAAGTTTCACTATCACTGAGAAGGGAAAAGCAATTATAAAACCAATCAGAAAACAAAAAATGATCTTTTACACACACACACACACACACACGCACACCCCTACATACACACACAAATAAAATTAACAATTGTGTCTTGTCTAGTAAGTGGAGTTTTTTCTTCTCTCTTTCTCTTTCTGTGATTTTAAACTTATGAGTATTTGTAGCTGTGTACTTTACATTGAAAGAAGATTAATGGCTTTTTAGATTGTTCAAAGCCATGCATTCTATTTTAAGCAGTCTATTTTTATTTTTTATTTAACTCATCTTTTATTTCACTTAAGGTGCCTTTTCAGGGCTTCATTAAATAGGTGTGGTGTTGCCTCAATAAAGTGCTTCAAATGTCTACTAGAAAAATCCATTTTAGGCTCCAGGCTCAGAGGAGGATTTCAAGCTGGGGCTAACCTTCTCCACAGAGGACAAGTCCTCCAAGAGCCACCCTTCTGTTAATTAAGAAAGCAAAGCACAATGGGGAGCTGCAATGACTACACAGCTCTCCAGCTTAGACTTTGGCTTGGTGGCCCCAGGCCCAGAGTCACCTGTGAAAGAAAAGCTCAGGAAAAATACTCCTCTCAGCTGCTGGGGAAACACTCTCCAGAGGGGACAGTGACTTAAATCTGTGGTTTCTGCCTCCCCTGCATCTATTCCCCTTTTAAAGTAACAGTAGTTTTAGTTTTCACTTCCAGACTCCCAGCCCTCAAGAATCTCAGCCCCCTGATTGGGAGGGGCAGACCACCTCTTGGTGTCAATCACAGTGATTAGTGCAGGATGGACCCCAGGGCCAAAGTGCTGGTGGCATCTGCCTATCCAGAGGGCTGAGGATAAATAACTAATATTTAGCAATGAAAATATTAGAGACTGGGTGAGACAGATAGATTATTGATGATATTATTTGGGTATGAGATCCAACCATTACGCAACAGTTATATAAGTTATATTTGGGTATGAGATCCAACCATTACGCAACAGTTATATAAGATATTATTTGGGTATGAGATCCAACCATTACGCAACAGTTATATAAGCTAGGTATCTTAACCTCCTTTTAGTTTTTAAGCCAATATGAGTTGCGGTTTTTTCACTTGCAGTAAAATGAAGGTCATTTAATATTGATGTCCTTTCCTTCCATTTTTTTCCCTTTCTCCTTGTTACCTCGGTCCACCACGTACCTTGCCATATATGGATCTAGGTTTTTATCTTTCCTGCTTTCATCTTATCTTCTAAACATGACTGTTAACTCTTAAGGGTAGGTGCCAGGACCACCCTGAAAATTAGGAAGCTAACATATTTTGTCTTCATGACTCAGCCTCCTCCCAATCTGGTTGTAGATTTTACCCACACTATGGACTTGTTCTCTTGTCCTTCTCATCTTTCTGGTCTCTCGATAGCTTCCTTACATCTTTTAATCCCCGTAGTCCAAAATAAATTTGCTCACAAGAAAGTATCATATTCTTTCATACTAATGAATACCCGACTTGGAAATCTGGTGAGGTTTCCCTTTCCTAAAATGTCTATACTTTATATTATTTATCAACGTGAATGGGGTGAAGCACTATGGGGAAGGTATGTATCAGGTAGCTGGTAAAGCTGACTTGGTGGGGTGAGGCTTTGAGACCTTCAGATTTTGCCAACACATAAGGTGATCCTGTAAGTGATCAGTAATTTACTCATTTTATAACTTTCAGGGCAACTTGCTTAGCAGTTTACAAATAGTAGAAAATATCATAGGTTTCTAGAGTTGGGAAAAAATTAAAAATCAATGTCACCCCGTAGACAAACTCTTCTGTTTTGGGGCAACAAAACAAAGTTTTGAGGACTCTTGAGCCAACATTGTGCCTTCTTGCCTGAAAATAGTGGTGAAAGAATAGCCAGACCACCTGGCAGGTACAGAGATGCCTTCTGGTGGGACTTAAAGGTTAATTAGGAGCTTAATGTTGTTTGGGGCTATGGTTAAATCTAATGTAACTTTGCCCCCACCCACCTAACTTGGAGTTAAAAGCTCAGCATTAAGCACATGTTTTCTAGGACAAAGTGTAGGAGTATAACACTCTTGAAAGCTGCATTCTAGATCAAATTTATCTTTCTGTAGTAAAGGAGAACACCACATATATGAAAGTCAAACAAATCTAAATATTGATTGATTTAATATAATCAATCATATAGACTTAACCCAAGATGCTTTTATGTTAAACCAAGGAAAACACTAATTTTAATCATGTTCCATTGATAAATCAAGTCTTATTTCCTTTTTGTTTTCATCAGCTGTTGGGAGAATTTGCTTGTATAAATTCATGGGAAGATGACAATTGTCTGCACTGTACATCAATAGACAGCTAGAGCAGAGAGTGGACTAAAAATTCTCTAGAAAACACTCTATGAAAGGGGAAAATGCCTTCTCTGGCTAACCAAGGGCAAGGGTCCAAAGCCCTCTGGCCCATCTTGGTATTTCATTAGTATGTTATTAGAAAGAATCAGCTTTAACAAATTGAGATTTTGCCAGATGATGGTACCTGTATACACTTCACTTCAAAGTGTACCTTCAAATCCCAAAGGATTTCCTGGAGAGCCAGGTACTTCACCAGTAGTTTTAATAAAATAAATCTTTGCTACCAGCTGTGTCACATCAGAATCTAAAGGTTTCTCCTATTTAGACCTTGCCAAAGATCTCATTCCTAAATCCCAACTTCTTCAGAAGCCAGCAAGTCAGCTGTTTTTGCTGTCACGTAACTCACTTCAGTGCCTCTCTATACCCTGAAGCAAATGGCAGTGTCGACCAGGAAGGTGAGTGACCTGAGGTTGAAGGACCCTATGTAACAGTCGATTTTTGGATAACGATTAAAACAATGTCACCCTCCCTCACCCAGTTTACTCCAGATGTTGTAACGTTGTGAATTTATTGGGCACTGTTTAATTAGTTATGGGAGAATTATCCACATGGAATTGCAAACCATCTAGAAAACTGTTTTGCAAATCTTCCTCTAAGGAGGTCAGGACAATTTTCTCAATGGAAAGTAGCTGTGGGAGAGAACTTAGATGTTGAGGAAGCTTTTACCTGTACTCCAGAATACCGTATTTATTGCCAACTGCTGTCAACCAGTATCCTCTGTCACTGACAGAGCCATGTGCCATGGGATAAATGAGCGTTGCTTCTGCTCTTGTTGGGGAGACAACATAAGTGCATGAACTAGTCTCTGTAAGACATAGCATGTGTATGTGACAAGAGAATTTAGGCAGTAGCAAGGATTTTAAAGTCTTAGTTCTGTAATGCATGGATTCAGATGTCGGTGGCTTCTAAAAGCTGGCCTGAACTACATAATGTTACCAGTGAATCTCCCGTGGAGATCTTAAAATGTGCATTCCTGAGCTCCCCTTGCTCTCTGAGATTCTGATTTAGAAGATCTGAGGTGAGGTCGAGATTCTGCAGTTAAAAAATGTTATCAGGTGATCCTCTTGCATAGTCTGTTTGAGCTTAAACCAGCTCTCCAGAGACTAATTTTCTCTCCAGAGTAAAAGCTTGATGGGCACTAGTTACTATTGTGTTCTTAGCAGGATGCCAGGACATTATAATTTTCTTTCTTTTTGGGGGCAACATTTTGACTTTTGACTAACATACATCTGAAAACATGATATTTACCCATCAAAGTACAAAGATTAGAGGGTTTTTATTTTACTAGTGCCATATAGTGTCTATTGCACATATATTTTACACTTGACAACAACATGAAGCAGAAAAATATTCACTCATTTTAAACCTTAAAAAAACCCACCCATCTAAGTGTATGCAAAAATCTGTATATTTTGCACTATAACTGCTACAATGTATTTGATTACAAGTCACAATACAGTCAGCATATCAAATGATTGTCATTAAGTTTCTATGTTTATTAAAAATTATCTTTAGAAAATTTAGCTGACTAACAAAGTCAAAGACGCTGGCTTGAAAAGGATGCTCCTTATTTACATAGCACAGCCAGATGCCTGAAAACCTTCTAGAATTAAAAGGACTCCTCATGTATTAACTTAAAAAATAAATAACTCTTTCTGCACTCTCTGTATCTCATAGATCATTAGTGGATTTCAAAGCTGACCACGCACAGTGTCAAGAGAGGGAGATTCTCAGCAGGAAAATGTGCAAGAATGAATCCTTATGAATAACGTCTCTAGACACTTCTAAAAAATAAAATGACTGTTGGCAAAAAGAGCCCATCTCTCTTCATAGGCTCTTCTATTTATAGCACACATCACAGGCTTAGGGAAGAATGCAAAAGAGATCCTGAATAGCTGTGGTTCAAGAGGGACTGCCATTCTGCTTTCAGGAATTTCCCAAACTACAACCACAGAGCAATCCCCCCACCCCCAGAATTCCTTCACATTTTTGAACTCCTTTCAAAGAAGTTTTCAGCTGTGTGTGGAGACTTGCTGTCCCAGCACCACACACAGTTGTTTTGTCTGTCTCTAAGACAAAGCTGCCTAAAAGGATGCTATTTCTTGCAACAAGGCATGCCATCATACTGGACATTTTTCATTTTTAACTTTTGCTTTTTAAAAGTAGCCAAACCTGAAAATAATAGAAAAAAATCAAAACGAAAATTATCTTAAGGTGGTCTGGAAAGTGAACTAGGAGAAACATCGCTTGTATAATCTACCCATGAACAGAGAGGCTGGAGAAAATGTCTTTCTGTTTCAGGAGCTTTTTACTTTATATGGAAAGAATTTACTAAAGGCAGAAACAAAGAAGATGGAAAATGATAAGAGTAATAATAAAAGTCACAGACTCACATGTGAAGAAAATATAAAACATACTTAAAACAGGAATAATTCACAAAAGATATAAAATATTTTTGTTTCTTCCTGTTCTAGGAGCTACCGATTCTATCTCATGGGTATTTTGTGAAGAAAACTTGAATTTATGTTATAAACTCTCTTTTTCTCCCTCTATCCCTCCTCCTCTCTCTTAAAACCATGGTTCAAGACCTT